TGCGCATGCACTGATTGCACTGCGGCGCCATGCTGGGCTATAATCTACTCGCCCGTGGTGAGTAGATTACCTTAATTGTCGAGCCCTGATAATAAACGTACCTAATTAGAAAATACCTGACACTTTAGATGTCCGGTATTTTCTCAATTTGTTTCCTGGACAGAACCCTCCAATACCAGACTGTCTGGTTCAGAACCAGACCCCTGGCAGCCCTAGGCAGAACAGATGGAAGGAACATGTTGAGTGGGGAGCAGGAGCTGCAGCCAGCAGGCTCCCAGCAGGCCGGGCCCCTGTCTCTTTCATTCATGCCTGCACCAACCCCAACCCTGCTGGGAGATTCCAACCAGGCAGGAGCAGCTCCCACTGATTTTGAGGAGTGTTAGGTCCCCTGGTCCCATGGCTGGCTTTGGGCCCATAGAATGCAAGATCTGGAGCCTGCTGGCTGCAGCTCCTGCTCTCCACCTCAGCGTGTTCCTTCCACCTGCCCTGCCAGTCCCAGCTGGGAGCGGTTACAAGTCAAAATTCAAACTGATCTGGACAAAGTAGAGAACTGGTCTGAGGGAAACAGGGTGAAGTTTAATAAGGACAAATGCGAAGTGCTCCATTTAGGAGGAACAATCCATCTCACACACAGAACAGGAAGCGGCTGTCTACGAAGGAATACAGCAGAAAGGGATCTAGGGGTCAGAGTGGACCACAAGCTGAATACGAGTCAGCAGTGTGATGCTGTTGCAAAAAAAGCAAACATGATTCTGGGATGCATTCACAGGAGTATTGTGAGCAAGACACGAGAGTCGTTCTTCTACTCTACCCTGTGCTGATTAGGCCTCAGTTGGAGTAGTGTGTCCAGGACTGGGCACCTTATTTCAAGAAAGATGTGGAGAAATTGGGGAAGGTCCAGAGAAGAGCAAGTAGAATGATGAAAGGTCTAGAAAACAGGAGCTATGAGGGAAGACGGAAAGAACTGGGCTTAGTTAGTTTAGAAAAGAGAAGACTGAGAGGGGACATGATAGCAGGTTTTCAAGTATCTAAAAGAGTGTCACAAGGAGGAGGAAGCAAAATTGTTCTCCTTGGCCTCTGAGGATAGAACAAGCAATGGGCTTGCACTGTAGCAAGGGAGGTTCAGGTTGGACACTAGGAAAAACTTCCTGCCTGTCAGGGGGGTTGCACACTGGGATAAGTTGCCTAGGGAGGTTGTGGAATCTCCATCCCTGGAGATATTTAAGAGCAGGTTGGACAGACACCTGGCAGAGATGGTCTAGACAGTGCTGGGTCCTGCCGTTCTAGGATGCTGTGCGTGGATGATCTCTCGAGGATGATCTCTCGAAGTCCCTCCAGTTCTAGGATTTTAGGATCCTGTGCATGGCACTCATTTTGCATAACCCCCGCAGGCCATCTTACCGCTGTGACACTGCCAGCAATACCCACCTGTTCGTCAGCCTGCTCCCAGGGCCTGGTTCTCGTCTCAGCATTTCCACGCTGGGGGAACGCCACTGGCTGCAGGGGAGTGACTTCTGATTTATGCTAGTGAAAGGGAAGTGAAAACCAGGCCCCCAGGAGTAACTTACCCACCCTGGTCTCATCGGAGGGTTTGGTCCTCCTACCACACGGACATTTCCCTTACAGCATGTGGCGAAGGAGCGCACTGGACAGAGAACAGAGGGTCTCGTGCCCAGGAGATTTGAGGGGCACTTCTCTGCCAGCCAAGCCCCATGACACAGGCATCGCTGGCTAGGAATGGAGTGACCCACTCGAATTCCTGTTCGCTACTCTGTGCCTATCTTGTCTGCATTGCAAGCGCCATTTCTTCTGGCCTTAGCCCCCGTCTCTAGCGGCGACAAAGGGAAAATCCATCTGTGCACAGCGCACCTTCTGGTCGCAACCATGGGAGAGAGTTTCAGACGTCCCAGCCAGGGGAGCACAAACCCAGCCAGATTAACTGGGAAAGTGCCCCCAGTCTCCCCCAGCACAGACACCATTTGAAACCAGAGGGTGGGGGAATGAGAGGTGGGGAGAGGAGCATCCGACTGTTAATTCACACCAAGAAACTGACGCTAGCTCAGCCTGCACCTAGCAGGAGGACCCCTTCATGGGCACTGAGATTCACAAGGTCCTAAAATCAGCCAGGATTAGGGTCCACAACCCTCCTAGCAGCTCCCGGCATTTGCTGAGTGAGCAGCATCCTCTGCCTTCGTGTCACTTGTCTGAGGACAGTCTGCAGAGCAAGGACTGTCAGCCAGTCACTGAAAGTCAAGTCTCCTTCCTTCCTCCCTCTCTCCCTTCCTTCCTCCCTCTCTCCCTTCGTTCCTCCCTCCCTCCCTCCCTCCCTTCCTGCCTGCCTGCCTGCTTCTCTCGCTCCTCATCTTCCTCTGTTCCCCTCTTCCAGATCCGCAAGAGAAGCAAAGCCTGCCGGGGGGGCCTGTGGGAAAACGATGAGCTGGTGTCCATCAACGGGAAACTATGCGCTGGCCTTTCCCACGCCAGCGCCATGCACATCATCGACTCCTCCAGCGACACGCTCCACATCTGTGTAAAAAGGTAACAGCCACCGCAGTGGTCTCTGAGCAGGGAGACAGCCTCCCCCTCCCCCCCCCGAGGGCAGCTCCATTCTGCACAGTAGCTGTCACACAGCTGGATGTGGGTTCACTCTAGCTAACAGAGCCAGGCAACCTTGTCCTAGTGCTTGAAAATGAGTCAGAAAAACAGTACCATGGAGCATGTTGCATTCAACAAGTACAGTCTCCTCAGGCTTCCTGGTAGTCTCTGTGCCTGCCGGGGCTGAGTAGACTGCCCAGCAACAGTGGGGAACAGAACTCAGGTCCTACTGCTGTATCTAGGGGAATCGCTGTTAGCAATACAGGGAGTATGACTCACAGATTGGCAATTGGGATCCCATCCTGCAGCACGCAGTGGTTCACAAAAGACAGCTCATCACAGCTAATAACAACATTAGTGACATTGCTTTACTTTGGATAAATGAGTATTCTGTACCAGTGGGTTTCGTCATGCAATGAAGAGAACATTTTACTAGCCCTGCATTCAATAGTAAAGTGAGTTGTAACCCACCACTTCCAAAGCTGATCACTTGTTGCTACATGGCCCCATCTCCTAGATAACTACATGGAGACTCAAAACAAGTCTCTCCCCCTCCTGAACCAGCTGTCCAGACAGGTTCTCTCTGACCCTGCTCACGTGGGTGATGCTAACTTACTTCCAAATCAGCAGCAGGGGGAAGAGGGAAGGAAGGGAGACAAACATCACTCCACTTTCAGGCTCAAGGGGCACGGCTAGCGAGAGGGAAGAGGGGTGTGAATGGGACTGCTCTCTGTCAAGAGGAGCATGTGGCCCACGCCGTGGCAGTGGCTGAAAATCCCTGAAGTAGCCCCTCAACAGAACCAAATTCCAAACTGTCCTGCCCCCTGAGCAGCGCCCATTTGCATTCAGATATCGCTCTGGCATGCACTGCACAGCTGGGCCCGCCCAGATAAGCAGCTGGCCATGGGAATTATTTTGTGAGTTAGCCAGATGGCACTAGCATGCACCCTGCAGAGCTGCAGCACTGAGCATGTCGGGGTCCCTGGACTAAACCAGGCAGCTTATCTCTAGGGTGCTACTGTCCTAGTTACAATATATAACAGTGATTCTTGGTGCTTCCACTTCTTCCCTCCCCCATAGCGCACACACAGCTCTGTCCCAACCCTCTTGCCCACTGCTCTCTCATGTTAACCCCTCCCTGTCACGGAGAGGAGGCCCAGAAGTACACTTCTCCAAATGAGCTAGATGGTGCTGGGTCCTGCCAGGAGGGCAGGGGACTGGACTCAATCACCTCTCGAGGTCCCTTCCCGTTCTAGTGTTCTGTGATTCTATGTAAGCACCTAAGACCCAGATTTTTAATGGTATGTAGGTGTTGCTCCAGTTGGCACTACAACAACTAATTGACTGGGGCTATGTCTAGACTGCAGGCTTCTTTCGGAAGAAGATTTCCGGAAGAGATCATGCAAAAAAACTTCCGAAAGAGAGCGTCTACACGGCAAAAGTGCATCGAAAAAGTGATCTGCTTTTTCGACAGACAGCGTCCACGCTGAATGGGTGCTCTCTCGCACGTAAGCTGTGATTACTGTAGATGGAGTGACCACCAGGACACCTGTGCTTTTTCCTCTTTCCTCTTCTTTCGAAAGAACATCCTCTTCCCTGTCCACACACGTCTTTTTCTGAAAGAGCTCTCTCGGAAAAAGGCTTCTTCCTCCCCCAAGAAAGAGGTTTACCAATGTCAGAAAAACCCCTCTGTTCTTTCAGGGGGTTTTCCAAAAAAACCTCTGCAGTGTAGACGTACCCTGAGAAGCCTAAGACTCATTTTCAAAGGATTTAGACCCTTAGGCGCCAAAATCCCACAGACAGTCAACTGGATTTAGGCTCCTATGTACCCAAATACCTTTAGGAAAAAGAAGGTAGGGCCTGTCATTTCAGTGTTTATAAATGTATTAAATTGGGGGTTTCAGTCCACTCAAGCACCCTTTATATTTAAAAGAGACCCACCTGCTCTGAACATGTGCAATACAAGCACCCACGAAGCTCCGCCTCCCTTACAAGGCTCATGGGAGTTAAAGTCTGTCTGCTTCACCACACACGATTTTCACATCATCTCTGCTGCACCACCTTTGCCCTGGCTGCGTGCCAGCCGCCAAGTCCTTACGTGGTGCCTGCATGACTGTGGTGCGAGCGACCAGCTCTGCACACACAGGCATACGCAGTAGAGGAGACGGAGAGACACCGTTTAGGTGAGTAGAGTGCCTAACACGCTTGAACCCCCGGGGACGTGCCCTGCTTGGCTCTCTACACACCCAAGCTGTGCCTACCACAGCTGAGACTGCCGTTTTAGTAGTGTAACATCTAGTCACCTCCCTTGTCTTGCACTGCAGCATGTAACTGCACCACAGAGGCAAGTACAGATACAGCCTGCCTTCCTCTACCAGGTGTAGCTACACCCGTACTGCACCTGTACTGCACGTGCCACTGTGGGTGTAGGCACAACCTTGTGGGAGTTCTGATACAGCAGGTTCTGGGCAATTATAACGGCAGGACTGGGCCCCAGTGAGACACCAAGGAGCCAAATCAGGGAGTCCTGACTCAGCCTTTTGCAAGTAAAACTGCCATTGACTTTTCCTGGCAGGAACTGAGCCCTTGAGAGGTACAGTCAAAAACCAGTGCACAGGGCTGAGTTACAGCTCTCCCCAGCCAAGCTGGGGTGGTGGGCCAGGAGGATGCGCCTGGCCCCAGCTGGGGGGGCCTGCAGGCAATTAGCCTTTGAGAGGCGTAGCAGCCCCCGCTGTCGGGGGGTGGGGAGGTGGGTTGCCACTTGATGTTCTTGTGTGGCAGGTATAGCTCACATGCTTTCCAGCACAGCCACGCCAGGAAGCAGGGAGATGTCCATGCGGCAGGGCCCTGGTGCAGGCCCCTGAGCTGCGCCTGCGAGCAGTGGGTTTGAATTTGGGCTGGGCCATCCAGGGGTAGGCACATAAGGCCCTGTCCCTCCCCTATGCATCCCAAAAATCCCACCATGGACTGAAATTCACCAAGTCTCTCCTCCTCTCCACAGGGCGGCTGGTGAGGACAGGTCTGGCCAGCCACTAGTGCTCTGCCCAGCCTCCCCAGTCAGCCCAGAGACAGCTGGGCCCCCCCCCCCCCCTCCACCCGAGCCACAGCGCCGGCGACAGCAGCAGCTGGGGAGCCTGACGTCACCTCCTGACAGCGAGGCCTACTACGGCGAGACAGACAGCGATGCCGATAACATTGCCCAGGAGAAGCACAGGAGGGCCCGCAAGAAGAGCCCTCGATCTCCACCTGGGGGCTCCAACAACAAGCCGGGGGAGCCGCAGGACGAGGTGTCCCTGTCGGAGCTGAGCGGCTATGACAGCACCCCCGAGGCAGCGGCGCAGGCCGGCCAGGGCGGAGCGGACACAAGTGGAGTGGCTGAGAAAGAACGCGGGTACCGGCCCGGCAGCCACATGGACACCCCTTTCTCAGAGAGCGAGGAGCTGCTGCAGCGGCCCCCAGCGGAGAGCAGGGAGCTCTCCCCAGAGGCCATGCTCCTGCCCCATGCCACCAAGACCATCCGAGCGGAGCGCCACCTCATCCCCATGGTGGGGCCCGTAGAGCACCCCGTCGATGAAGATTTAACCACCACCTACGCAGAGAAAGCCAAACTAGCCAGTAAGTGCCCCCTACACACCTCCCCCTCCCCTGGCCTAATCCCCTGCCCAGGCTGAAGGGCCTTCGCCTGGCTTCTCTCGCATGGAAGGAGGCAGAGCCAGGCCAGCTCTGCAGGGTCTGAGCCGGTGGCTTAGGTCTCTCAGGCTCCCCTCCAGCAGGCAGCCAGCAGTCTAGAACCCAAGCACATCCCCCCCCCTGAGTTCTACTGACAACAGGAGGGTGATGGCTGGCCCTGGGACTGAGCAGGTTAAAGAGGATGCTGATAGTGCCCGTGCTCCATGGGAGCGACTCAGGGGTGAGTCCTGAGCCTGCCTAGGGACAAAGCAGCCCCATTCACTCGCTAGCCACTGCTGTGTCCATGCAAAGGAGCAGGGCAGATGGGCTCCAAGGGGCTCACCCCCAGCCCTCCTGCTTAAGGAGCATTGCGGGGCAGGGCCAACCCCACAGCCTGGTACCAATGGCTTATATTGCCTTGCGCCTGGTCCTTCCCCTGCCATCGCAGGGGGCCCGTCCACTTCCCTACCCCTTGGGAGGTGTTTTCTCTGCAGCTCTGTTTGCACCCGCAGGCATGCGCATGTGTCTGCACGTGGCAGTGGATGGCCAGTTCCCGTACAGGAGATTGCTTCTCGTGCCTGGGCAAATGGGCGTGCCCAGGAGGTGAAGCGAGGGGGAACTGCAGCCAAATGCCCTCACTGGAGATATTTAAACTGGGACAAACACCAGAGAATACACAAGAGGGAACAACCCTGCCCTGGCCTCTGGGTAATGGACTAGACGAGTACATCGACACTACACACTAGGCCTGGCTCTGACTCAGGTCTGAGCCCAACCCCCCTTCTGTCCACTCACAAATCAGTGTGAATCGAGTCACCCAGCAGCCAGGATCTAGCACCCTGCGAGGAAATGGGTCCAAGCCTGAGTTCTGCTATGACTTGGGTCCAAGCCCTGCTGGTTCCCGGTGTGGATGCAGCTCAAGCCGCAGGCCCTGATCAGAAGGTCTGTGCAGTGCCATACGGAAATGGCAGCATGGCTGTGAGACCCAGGCCCAGCCAGGCTAAATCCAGTTCCACACTGTAGTGTGGCTGCCCAAGTACAGGCCCACAGACAATGCAAGGTAGGCATTCTCAAGGTGACCTAACAAGAGCTTTGTATCTCACACTTCTCTGGTTCTGATTTTGAGTTTTTCCACTCAGCCTCTGCCTGCTTCATAGATCAAACTGAGCAATTGTCAGGGTTCGTGGGAATCGGGGCTGGAAGAGATCTCCAAAGTAACCAAGTCTAATCAGCTTGGGCCAGTGTGACGGAGCAAGCTGGGTCTGGGCACCGCTGAGGGCGTCCGCTCAGGGCAAATTGCTCAAACTCGGGGCTCCTTACAGCCCCAGATTGGAGACCTTCAAACAGGCCACAACCAGTCCCACCGAGTGCTCCAGCTGCCATTCCGGCCAGCCAGAAGCCTCACAAGCAAAACCCCTCCAATATCCCAGCTCTCCCTGCGCCACCATCAGCCCCAGGCCTGCACACAGGTGAGGGGTTATAGAACCTGATCCCACCTACCCCAGACAGGCCCTCTCGGCCCCAAAGAAAAAGTCACAGATCATAGAATCATAGAATAATAGGACTGGAAGGGACCTCAAGAGGTCATCGAGTCCAGCCCCCCGCCCTCAAGGCAGGACCAAGCTCCGTCTACAATCCCTGGTCAATTTCCACTTTAGAGCTTACCCACAAGGTCATGCTGAGCCAATCCTTTAGAATCTACAATCTAAAGGTTTATTAACAAAAGAAAGAAAAGTGTGAGAGTCAGGTTGTTGAGGAGAACATGTTACATGCACCAGTCACCAAGGGTATGTCTACACTACCCCCCTAGTTCGAACTAGGGGGGTAATGTATGCATACCGAACTTGCTAATGAAGCCCGGGAAATTCAAATCCCGGGCTTCATTAGCAAGTTCGGTATGCATACATTACCCCCCTAGTTCGAACTAGGGGGGTAATGTATGCATACCGAACTTGCTAATGAAGCCCGGGAAATTCAAATCCCGGGCTTCATTAGCAAGTTCGGTATGCATACATTACCCCCCTAGTTCGAACTAGGGGGGTAATGTATGCATACCGAACTTGCTAATGAAGCCCGGGAAATTCAAATCCCGGGCTTCATTAGCAAGTTCGGTATGCATACATTACCCCCCTAGTTCGAACTAGGGGGGTAATGTATGCATACCGAACTTGCTAATGAAGCCCGGGAAATTCAAATCCCGGGCTTCATTAGCAAGTTCGGTATGCATACATTACCCCCCTAGTTCGAACTAGGGGGGTAATGTATGCATACCGAACTTGCTAATGAAGCCCGGGAAATTCAAATCCCGGGCTTCATTAGCAAGTTCGGTATGCATACATTACCCCCCTAGTTCGAACTAGGGGGATAGTGTAGACATACCCCAAGTTCTTGATGCAGGCTCTTAGCAGAGATGTTACAAACTGCCAGTTTAGCAGTCTCCAGTGTCCATCCTATGTCAGGATGGGTCAGCAATCCTTCCCGGCTCTCTGTCCCTCACGAGGCTGCATCTGGGATCAGTAGCAAGATTGGAGACAAGATGGAGTCTGCCTCATGGCATTTTATATCCATTCCTGGGGTCTCCCAAGCTGGAGCAGGTCACATGGTCAAGTGACCTGTCTGTGTTTCACATGCTGGCAGCCGTTATGCCCTGATTGGTTGCAGGTTTCCAGTCGCATTCCTCAGGTGTGTATTGGCCACCCTGAGAACCATTGTTCTTGTGGCCCTGCTAATCAGCATAGTCATTCATTAGACATTCCTTCTTTACAACAGGCAGTCCAGGCCCATTGCTCTGTCTCAGGCAGAGAACATTGACAGTACCAGCCCAGAGTCATGTCTCCACATTCATGACTCCACATACAGACATCACACAAATACACGAGTAGCATATATAGAATCAGTAGAACATGAGCTTTCATTTGACACCTCACATGGCCCCCTTTGGACAGACTGGGGCAAACACCCCCGGGGTGCAGCAGTGATCTGTCTGCTCACTTTAAAATCCAATAACGTGACAGCCAGCTCCTCCATCCTCATTGCTTTTGAACATTTCCATTGGTAACACCTCTGTGATCTCCTTTGATTGCTGCTCCTCTACTTGCTTTTCCAACGAGTGTGTTTTCCCTTTCATCTGATCTAAATCTGCCTTTTTCATCATTAGCTTAAGGCCATTTCTCCCTGTGTTACATTCTTCGCCGGCCTTCCTTGTCTATTTCCTTCACCCTTCTACCATTTCCTCTCAAGAACTAGCAGCAAGGAGAAGGGGAAGGAGAAATCTGGGTTCCACCTCCCTCAGTCTTGGCCATCTTACCTGCTACCCAGGCAGTATTTTAACTCCTTCCATGGTGACAGGGCAAGATCCACCCTTTCTTTAGAACTGTGACCTGGGCAGCTCTATCAATATGTTGTACAATGGCATCTGTCATGCGAGAATCCCAAACTGTTGCACAATCAGATAATACACACCTTAATTCACACTGTGCCGCAGGTCAGTCCTTTACCCCCATATTACAGATGGGGGAATGGAAGCACAGAAGCGTTAAAAGACTCGCCTGTGGTCACACAGCAAATTGGAAATAAAACCCCAACTCCCAGCTTCCTGCTCTAACCACCAGACTTGCTCCTGCTAGTAGCAAACATTTCCAGTGGCTGGAGATTGGACACAAGAAGGGGAGGGCACACAGTTATACACAGAAATTCTTTCCCAGGTGCCTGGCTGCCGGTCTTGCCCACATGCTCAGGGTCTAACTGATCAGCGTATTTGGGGTTGGGAAGGTTTCCCCTGGGTCAGACTGGCAGAGACCATGGTGGGGGAGTTACTTTCTGCAGCGTGAGGCCCAGCTCACCTGCTGCTCTGAACTAGGGTGAATGGTGGATTCTCTGTAACGTGACATCTTTAAACCAGCTATGAGGAGGTCAGTAACTCGTCCAGAGGCTAGCAGCTATTGCGAGGTGGGGGAGGCTCTGTGACAAGCAGGAGGTCAGGCTAGATGATCATGACGGTTCCATGGCAGGACCAGCAAAGGCGTTCCCAGGTCATGGTGAAGAGCACCAGGGGAACTCCTGCACCTAAAATAAATCCATCCTACAGTTTGTGGGTTTGACTGAGCCCGGGGACTTGCTGGCTGCCATGGGAGCTCGCACTATGGGCCTGCGAGGGGCACACAGCGCCCCTTGCTGCATGGGCTCAGGCCAGCCGGAGCAGCCCCACAGCAACGTGGTGCTGACCTGGAAAGCGGTGTTACTACACCGCTTGGATTCAGCACAGCTGCTGCTGGTTCTGGGGGAGCCGAGTCTGAGAGTCAGTGTTGAGGCCACTGCTACAGCGGTTTCTCTCCCTTTCTCAGAGAGATGCTGCCGTGTCTCCTTGCCCGAGAAGAGATTGCTAAAAGCTAAGCTCCCTCCTCAGGGCAGGGCCAGGAGCTATTGCTCTGCCCCCGTGTCACAAGGCAGATGCTTCCTTAGCCTGGACCCAGTGTGGCAGTAATAATAGTGCAAGGCCAGGCCTTGCCTGGCTCTGTTTGCTCCATAACCTGAGCAGAATTCATCCCTGTTTAGGCCATTTCTGCCTCCCCTGACTGAGGCTATTTTTTCCTCTTTGAATAATGTACAAGCATGAGGTGAATGCTGGGAAAGGCATGTCCAGCTGCTCTCTGCCACCCGATCGGCGAGCCCGCCATGAGCAATGGTTTTACATCAGGGCTTATTTCCAAGGATAGAGTCAGCACAGAGGGCTCCCAGGAAAGCCACACATTCAAATCACAGCATTTCGGAGGACAGAATCATCACTCACGGCCGGAGGTGACGCGCAGACGTTGCTAGCTATAGTGGGGGTGTCCTAGCGCTACTGCAGACTGAGCTAGTGCCTTCCTCTCCGGATACGCACCGGTGGGGCTTCTCTCAGCCACAGCCCTGATGGAAGAGTCCCCAGCAGCACCCCCTGGCACTTC